GACGTCAGGGTCAGGATCGAACCAACCAACGAGCCCCCTGCATACCAGACGAGGTAGTTAACATCTCCTCGCCACCGTGACTTGTTGCAAAGGTTCACGGTTTGAATCCAGCGGGCCGCCCCGGTCATTACCGCGGGCGAAACGACCGTGATGATGCTTCACAACAAGGCCGTAGCCATGGAGTCAAAATTGGGGGGGACCAAATCATCCAGGATGTCTGGGGGTCCCAACGCAGAAAAATATCTAAATTTGAACACTCATTTCCTGCCTAAAATATTAAAAAATTCACTAACCCATGGGGTGGACTTTTTATTTTATTTTTTACAATAATGTCTAATAGTGTATTGTATTACATTGCTCTGTTTTTTCTTTTTTTACCATTTCTTGTTTCATTGTATGTAATGGCAGAGATTAGGGATTAATAAAGTACAACCATAACCACAATCATATGAACAGAAATCTACGCATTGATTTATATGAAGACAAGTCCAGATATTGTGGCCAAGGTTTAGCAAATTATTGTATTTATTTACATAGCATATAATTTTTTTAATAGCAATATATATGTGGGGGGGGGGGGGATATTTTGAGCATATTTGAATATTGGGGGGGGGGGGGTGTGGGGGGATGTCCCCCCCCTCTCCCCAATATATATGATAATTACGGCCTTGCTTAACAACAAAGCGGCTTATCACGTGAACATTTTTTTCCCGCAGCCAAATCATAATCCGAAACCCGTGCGTCTCCCCCCCCCCCGAGTTAAATTCTCGTTTCACGGCGAACATCAGTGGCGACGGTGCCCCGGGCTCAGGTCCCCCACCCCCACGGACCTCCCCGAGCTCGACTCGGCAGCCAGGTGCGTAACAGAAACAACAACAACAACAAAAAGGCACCGCTCCGCAAACAGGCACCTTGCCCAGGCCCGTGGCACGACAGCCCACACACCACCCCAGCCTGGCTTTAGAAGCCATACAACCAAAGGAGGTGGTGGGTGGGTGGGGGGTTGGTGGGTGGTGGGTGGGTGGTTGGTTGGTGGGTGGGTGGTTGGTTGGTGGGTGGGTGGTTGGTTGGTGGGTGGGTGGTTGGTTGGTGGGTGGTTGGTTGGGTGGGTGGTTGGATGGGTGGGTGGTGGTTGGAGGTAGGTAATTGGTTGGGTGGTTGGTGGGGTGGGTGGTTGGTTGGTGGGTGGGTAGTGGTGGGGTGGTTGAGTGGGTGGGGTGGTTGAGTGTGTGGGTAGTGGTTTGGTGGGTTGTTGGTGGGTGGTGCGTATGTGTGTGGGTAGTGGTTGGGTGGGTGGGTGGTTGAGTGTGTGGGTAGTGGTTGGGTGGGTTGTTGGTGGGTGGTGCTTGTGTGTCATCCGACGATTTGGCAACGGGGGCACTCCGAACGCACACAGTTGGCGAGCCCCCAGCGGCAGCTTGCGTCAAGGAACAGGAGTGGTGGTGGTGGGGGGGGCGGTGGGGGGTGGTGGTGGGGGGGGCGGTGGGGGGTGGTGGTGGTGGTGGCGGTGGGGGGTGGCGGTGGCGGGGATTGGTGGGGTTGGTGGGGGGGACCCCGTGTGTATTTATAGCGGGGCCGGCCCCGGCCAGTCGACTTCGTCGCAAGTTCAAGCGGGGCTCTGCGGTGACGGGGGAGGTGAAGCCCACGGCTGGTGGTGGTGTAGTGGTGGTGGTGGCTCCTTCTCACAGGAGGTGAGAGAACTCCCCAAGCCCCTCTCTGCCTGTCTCTCTCTGCCTGTCTCTCTGTGTCTGTGTGTTTGTCAGTCAACGTGTTATTATTGTTGTTGCTGCTGCTGTTCGTTGTTGCGCAGCGGTGGCGCTCAGGTTTGTGTTTCAGCTTCCCCTGTTCGGCGAGTTGCCCGGTATCGATCGATATCACCCCCCACCACCCACAACAACAACAACTAATCTGGTTGTGGTGGTGGTGGTGGAGAGTTGTGCCCCCTTCCGATTCCACGCAATCCACGGCCGACGATTTTTCCGAACCGGTCCTGGGCCGACTCCCTCCTAGGTCGACTCGGCCTTAAACCGGTGCGGTGTGGATCGTGATGAGGATCAAGATCATGATTAGGATCATGATTAGGATCATGATCTTGACGTCAGGCAGGGGACTAGGGGTGACTACGATGGGTAACGAACCTCACTGTGGCCGCCCCGTTTGTGTCTATCGCGGCCTCTCTCGGCACTTGCCCCGCACGGCACGGGAGGTTACACGAGGTGGGAGCTTTGTCTTTGTAATGGTTCAGGTGGTGGTGGTTGTTGTTGTTGTGGTTGTTGTTGTTGTGGTTATTGTTGTTGTTGTGGTCGAGAAGCTGTGGCCTACAAATCCCCGGGGTTCGATTCCCACGCTCGAACTGGCGACCGGTTCCATTGGGCTACCCCCCCTAGGCCGACTCAGCCTTAAATACAAACGAGTTACCCCCCCCCACCCCCACGTGTTGTAAACCATCACCACTTGGTGGGGGGGTGTGTGGGGGAGAGACAAAGGCGGCCGGGGCCGTGGCGTTTGACCACCACCCCCCTTGGGCCTCCCATCATCGATCGCTCCCCGCGAGCGGTTGTCAAGGGAACCGCTCGGGGTGGTGGTGGTGGTTGTTGTTGTGGTGGTTGTTGTGCTGGTGGTTGTGGTGGGGGAGCCGCTCAGGGTGGTGGTTGTTGTGGTGGTTGTGGTTGTTGTTGTGGTGGTTGTGGTGGGGGAGCCGCTCGGGGTAGTAGTGGTGGTTGTTGTGGTGGTGAGGGAGCCGCTCGGGGTGGTGGTGGTTGTTGTTGTGCTGGTGGTGGTTGTTGTGGTGGTTGTGCTGGTTGTTGTGCTGGTTGTTGTGGGGGAGCCGCTCGGGGTGGTGGTGGTGGTGGTTGTTGTGGTGGTGGTGGTGAGGGAGCCGCTCGGGGTAGTGGTGGTGGTTGTTGTGCTGGTGGTGGTTGTTGTTGTGGTGATTGTTGTGCTGGTTGTTGTGGTTGTTGTGGTGGTGGGGGAGCCACTCGGGGTGGTGGTGGTTGTTGTAGTGGTGGTGATTGTTGTGCTGGTTGTTGTGGTTGTTGTGGTGGTGGGGGAGCCGCTCGGGGAGGGCCCCGCCGATAACGGCGCCCTTGCCCGCGCAGGCTACCCGGGTATATGCGGGGAGCTTTGTCTTTGTCTGTAGCCAGGTGGTGATGGTTGTGGTGGTTGTTGTGGTGGTGGTGGTGGTTGTGGCGGCGATGCCCCCCGGTTCGATTCCCGCTCTTGATTAAATTGCCGGTTCTCGTGCCTCCGCCTAGGTCGACTCAGCCTTAAAAACCAAAACGCGAGTCCCCGGTGCGGCGTGTAAACAGCAGCACGTGGGGGTGGCGGGGGAGAGACAAAGGCGGCCCTCTCGGCCTTCGTAGATCGCTGCTCGCGAACAGCGCTCGCCTGCCCCCTTCACTGCCCCCTTGACTGCCCCGTTGACTGCCCCCTTCACTGCCCCGTTGACTGCCCTGTTGACTGCCCTGTTGACTGCCCCGTTGACTGCCCCGTTGACTGCCCCGTTGACTGCCCCCTTGACTGCCCCGTTGACTGCCCCCTTCACTGCCCCCTTGACTGCCCCCTTGACTGCCCCCTTCACTGCCCCCTTGACTGCCCCCTTCACTGCCCCCTTGACTGCCCCGTTGACTGCCTCCTTCACTGCCCCGTTGACTGCCCCCTTGACTACCCTGTTGACTGCCCCGTTGACTGCCCCGTTGACTGCCCCCTTCACTGCCCCGTTGACTGCCCCCTTGACTGCCCTGTTGACTGCCCCCTTCACTGCCCCCTTGACTGCCCCGTTGACTGCCCCCTTGACTGCCTCGTTGACTGCCCCCTTGACTGCCCCGTTGACTGCCCCGTTGAGGGCCTCACGGAGGGGGAGTTGCGATCTCTGTTCCCTGGTGCAGAGCAGATGTCCCGGGGGGGGGGGCTGCAGTGCCCCCACCACTACCCCCCCCACCCATCACCACCATCACCCCCCCCACCCATCACCACCATCACCCCCTCCCACCCACCATCACCCCCCCACTCACCACCACCCACCACCACGACCGTCGGCCGCTGTTGCTGCTGCTGCCGCTGCCCCTTGCTGCTGCTGCAGCTGCTGCCCCTGCTGCTGCTGCAGCTGCTGCCCCTGCTGCTGCTGCAGCTGCTGCCCCTGCTGCTGCTGCCCGCGTTCTCTCTCTCTGTCTCGCGACGCCCGGGAACCATTGTTCAGTGGCGACGTGAGGAGGAGCGGTGGCGCAACGGTTAGCGCACCCGCACGATAACATCTCACCACCACCACCACACCCCCTTCTCCATTCAGCCACCCCGGCCACCGCCGGTCAATCATCTGCCCCCCCCCCCCCCCCCCCCCTGTGGGTTCTTCAGCATTCACTGCTTTGCCATCCCCTACCCCCCAGCACCACCGTGATGTTTGAATGATGTGACGATGCCGAGTTGGTGCAATGGTGCATGCATCTTTTTTTGTTAATAAAAAAAAATAACCCCCTCGCCAGATACGTTGTCCTCTGAAGAAGCTCCTCCGTTGCCCGAAACGTCGCCTATTGTGTATATTTTTCGCCCTTTAAGGCCGTGGGGGCTTTATCCAGCAGTGGACTGTACAAGACCTTGCCTTGCACAGTCCGCTGTTGGATGTGCAAGGCCCTGCTTTTACCTCAAAAGTACATAAAAATGGCTATTATTCCCCACTAACTTTGCTTTTATGACCAGGACAGTGATATTTTGAAATTTACCTATTTTCCAGAACATTCCAGATAGATTCAGTGCCGGGTATACTTGGAGTAACTTCTATAACATTCTAGAACTTTCCAGTAATATAAATAGTCGTATAAATACAGGGGCCTTAAGCCCACCAGTTCAGTTTAGTTCCAGCTGCCTAAGTGGATACATATCTGCATTTTTCTGAGATGGCATCAAGAGGTTGCAAGCATCCAGCAGACGCATTTTGCTATGTCTGCGGCCAATTAATCAAGACAAGAGCGAAAAAGTACTCTGTGGAAGCATCTGCTAAGATATGTGAGGCCTACAAGGCATATTTCGGCATGCCTGTCGGGGATCAAGACAAACTCTGGGCACCTCATTTCACCTGCGAGCAATGCAAAAATACTCTGGAAGGTAAGATGAACAATTGTTGCTCAGAATTTTAGGTTGTACAATTTGTAAAAAAATTGAATTGTAAAAGTTTTTAATTTTCAAATGTTTTACAATTTTCAATGTTATTGAAAAAATATATAAATGAAAAATGTTGCAAGAAACTCTTAAACATTAGTCATGGGTGAAATAAATGTATTTTTGTAGGATGGTACAGAGGGGAAAAGAGAGCCATGAAGTTCGCTATCCCAAGAATTTGGCGGGAACCCACTGACCACTCGAGCAACTGCTGCTTCTGCATGGTGGACCCTTCCAAACGTCGGACTGGCAACAATGCACCTGCTATCATGTATCCAGACCTTCATCCATCGCCCCGGTGCCACACTGCCATGAGCTCCCCGTACCCACTCCTCCGGAGAGAGAGCAGCCGTCTTTAGAAGAGAGCAGCAAGTCAGAGAGCGAGGAAGACATTGTAGATCCAGATGACAATTTCAGAGGTGGAGCTGAGGAGAGAAACCCATGCTACCCCAACCAAAAAGACCTCAACGACTTGATCAGAGATCTTGGTCTCACCAAGTCCCAATGCCCGGCTTTTGACGTCTCGGCTCAAGCAGTGGAACTTGTTGGATGAAAGTGTGCAAGTCGCAGATCAGAGGAAGCGTCACCAACCTTTTTGCAGCTTCTTCACCCGTCAAGATGGGCTCTGCTTCTGTTCGAGGCTATCGGAATCGCCTGTAACCAGAATTAGTGACTCCTCTTCATTGACATCTCATCCAGGAGCCTCAAAGCCGTGCTGCTCCATAATGGTAACAAATACCCGTCTCTTCCCCTGGCTCACTCGGTGCACCTCAAAGAGGATTACAACAGCATCAAGACCTTGCTGGACGCCTTGAAGTATGACGAGTATGATGAGTATGGTTGGGAGGTCATCGGAGACTTCAAAATCGTGTCATTCCTGATGGGTCTCCAAGGCGGTTTTACCAAGTTTCCCTGCTATCTTTGCATTTGGCGCAGCAGGGACACCAAGGCGCATTACCACAGGCGGGACTGGCTGCAGCGGACCGAGTTCTCTGTGGGGAGGAACAACGTCAAGTGGGAGCCACTGGTGGACCCCGGAAGGTGCTGATGCCACCACTGCACATCAAATTGGGCCTGCACATCAAATTGGGCCCAATGAATTCTCCAATAATCTCACTAGTAAGGAGAAAGCGGCTTGGAGCAGCTTTGTCGCAGTGGTTCGTGGCTTCCTGGGCAATCACAAGGTCGAAAACTATGTGGAGCTGGTTGAGACTCTGGTGAAGAACTACGGCACAATGGGCTGTAGGATGTCCCTTAAAGTCCATATCCTTGATGCTCATCTTGATAAATTCAAGGAGAACATGGGAGCGTACTCGGAGGAGCAAGGCGAGCGCTTCCACCAGGATATACTGGACTTTGAACGCCGCTACCAAGGTCGGCATAACGAGAATATGATGGGAGACTACTTTTGGGGGCTGATTCGTGAAAGTGATTTACAGTATCATCGTAAATCTCGAAAAACTAGAAAAACTACTCGCTTCTAAATCTTTTGTAGTAATTTTTTTTATTATTTTAGTATAAATATTTGTAAATTTTTATTAATTTTTTTTCTTCTGACTTTATGTGAACAAAAAGACACAAATTCGCCCGTTTTTTCATTGAAAATAGGTACATTTAAAAATATCACTGTCCTGGTCACAAAAGCAAAGTTTGTGGGGAATAATCGCCGTTTTTATACTTTTGAGGCATAAGCAATTGCGAAATAACACTACCCAGGAACAAAAATTGTCTTACATCGTGTAATTAGAGGGTTTTTTTTTGGTGGGTCAGATGGCGTGAATCGAAATGTTGTGTCGTTAAACCCGCCACCACCCGACCACAGGGCTTGTCACGTAAACACAAACGTGCCAATTCGTGACGCGAATGGCACGCACCAGCGTGCTGGAGAGTAAACCCACAGCATTCCGTGAACTGCATTTTACTCTCCACTCTCTCTATACAGGGTGTTTCAAAATGTTTTTAACACTTATATGGGACTATCGTTTTGAATGGAAAAATAACGGATACTGCTACACTGTAACATGATAACAAATGTGATGTTAATGGCTTCAAAAAGTGAAAGGGTGTCCACTTGTTCACCATCATTGTCAACGCGTGCCCCAAATCTTCTCCAGGTGGTCTCCAGAGCCCGGAGGCACAACATTTCTCGTGGTTATTGTTGCATAAAGTGTTAACGTTTTTTTGAAGCACTCTGTATTTTGCATGTTGGGGGTGGGTGGGAGGTCAAGTGTCACGATTTTTTGGGACGTACGTTCCACACGGTCGATTTGATAAAGTGAAGATGCCCGGGGGCCAATAGTTCCTTTTGACATTGTTTTAACCACAAAAGTTACGTGGAAACACACACTGTTATAAAACAATTTTCATTGTCACAATTACCTTTATTTTTCAATTGACAATGTAACCAAATATCAGCCACTCAGGCAGACGTGAACAACTCTAAGAACGCAATTCTGCCTTTCATTCAGTCAGATAATATTGAACAAACTGTATAGAATACCTTAAATTTCCATGACTTTTACGATGTATTTATTCTGACAGAGCTGGCGAGCCATAACTAACACGTTATAAGACAGAAGCTGCGGGCCGTACGAAATCTGACCGCGGGCCGTGATTGGCCCGCGGGCCGCACTTTGGACATGCCTGTGTTAAACTGACACATTAATACGTACGTGCTCCAATCCTTTGCGTTCCTCTTCGCTCTGCAAGCGCCTCTGGGTGTATTTTCAAGCGTGCATCTCTCCACGCCGCTTTGAGCGCTTTTCAGTCTCCGTAGAGTAACAAGAAAAATAAACACCCCCAAACATTTTGACCCGACCGATGGCGCCCATTAACAACAAACACCGCGGCGGATCAAGAATGTGCCCGGTAGTTCGTCGCTTTTTTATTTTTACATTCAAAGTTGGGGGGGGGGGGTGCCCCTCAACAGCAATAGCCGCTAGGGGCCCCCAATGAGTCCAACGCCATCGCTGAGCATCGGGACTTGCGTTACGTAACCGAATATTATCGTCCGGGAACAAGCTGGCGCGTGTGCGTGGCGTGGTTCTGCGCCTCCGCTCCTAATAGGGCCACTTACGCAGAGAAGCCCACGCGGTCCTTATGTCGTCGTGTTTTGGAAGTGACACCAAAACGAATGATTGGCCCGCTGCCGCGAGGATCGCAGAGTGGAGATTGTATTTTGTTTGCACGCAGGATCAACTTGTCGACCACGTCGCCATGATCGTTTCTTTGTACTGAAAAGGGTTTCAACAGCGTGTGGCTGCGTTGTGTGTCGTCTGCCTGGTAACGTGGGTTCACGATCACGCTCTTGACAGGGACGCAATATGAATGAAATGTTCGCATGAAGTTGGGTTGCTCGTAGAGAATTTACCCCATTTTTTTTTAACTGCGGACAAATTCATCCAAGGGTTTTAACACCCAAAACTACAGACTATGGGTAGTGTTAGTGTATGGGCAGTGTTAGTGTATGAGCAGTGTGAGTCCTATGGGCTGTATGTATGTTAAACTTCTTTCGCACCGTACGTAGCCAACTGTGCTAATTGTGGAGGTGCGATGTCCGGATCACCCGATATTTTACCCCTTTCTCTCCCCCCCCCACCCTCCCCCTGTGGGAGCAACGACAATCAGATTTGTTTGCTACGGTAGTTCAATGTCCGAAGTCCACGATAGACAGCACAATTAAAGGCAAGGCTGAGAATTTTAGATTTTTTAAAAATGATTTTTTAAAGTAAATTACAACGTTTAACCGATGACCCCACCCGGACGCGTCCGTGACCCGTGCGGAACGCAGGCAGGCCAAGCCCGTCGGGGCCACCGCTCGCTCCTCGCCGGGACGCCATGGGGGCGGCCGGAGGGCCGGCGGGCCGCCCGGAGCCTCCCGACGGCGGCTGGGGCTGGGTGGTCCTGGGCGCCGTTTTCCTCACCATGAGCCTCTCACTGCCCGTGCCCCAGTCGCTCGGCGTGTTCTTCGCCGTTCTGCAGGACGAGTTCGACGCCTCGTCGGGCGCCACGGCCTGGGTGCCCTCGTGCATGACGGCCACGTTGCACGCCGCCGGTGAGCGACGCCGCGCGGTGCGGCTGCCCCGTGCGTCCCGCGCGGGGATGCCGGATTTGCCGCGGCTCCAACCGGCGCGTGCATTCGGGCGCTGATGTTAACTCCCTCGCCTGGTACGCAGGAGGTCGTGGGTTCCATCCCGACCCTGACGCCTGCTGCTGTGTATTTGGAATCTGCGTGTCTCTCATCATCATCATCATCACGGTGGCTATGAGATGTTAACTCCCTCGCCTGGTACGCAGGAGGTCGTGGGTTCCATCCCGACCCTGACGCCTGCTGCTGTGTATTTGGAATCTGCGTGTCTCTCATCATCATCATCATCACGGTGGCTATGAGATGTTAACTCCCTTGCCCGGTACGCAGGAGGTCGTGGGTTCCAACCCGATCCTGACGCCTGCTGCTGTATATTTGGAGTTTGCGTGTCTCTCTCCCCGTGGTCGCGTGGGGTTACCTCCTGTGTGCTCCGGTTTTTCCCTCGATATTTAGAATCAACGTGCGTTTGGAGTATTTGGCTGCTATACATTTCCACGTGATAAGCCACTTCGTTGAGCTCTCATTCGTGGCCAGATCTGATAAAGAAGCTATATAGCTCAGTGGGCCTTACCTGGCAAAATAAAAATAGTTTGTTGGTTTCGAGCTTCTCCGGGAACTACTGAGCAGCTTTATTCCGTGCCAACAGAAGTCTTCACGTCTGTTGTGGCCGAAACGTCGTGAGAATTATTTAATGATGTTTTATTTTTATTATTTTATTATTTTCCTTCTACGTGACTTTGCCGAAAGAACCAAGAAGAAAATAATTCTTTTCATAAAATAATTATTTTATTATGTTTTATTTTTATTATTTTATTATTTTCCTTCTACGTGACTTAGCCGTAGCTTTGTCAGGCGGACTTTGCTTTTGCGAAGCGAGTGGCGTCTGAAGTGAATAACCGCCGTTATCGAGTCGGCCCCCTCTGCCTCGCATTGTGAAATGCGTGTGACGACACGCGGTGAGCAACGAAAACTTTGCCCCTCCTAGGCGGCGTGCAATAAAGGGAAAGGTCAAACGCGACTCGAAGAATTCACCGTAGCCAATTCTTATTTGAAACTAATTTTGTAACACCATTGGAACCTCATTTGCCAGTAAAAAATATGATAATTGGTTTTTTTACCCTTCTATCTGGCAACAAAACTGACACTTTTTTATGTTTACAAGGAGTCATGTTTGCATAGACCACAATACCTGCAGTCATAATGCAAACAAAAAACATAACTCTGATAATGTGCACTGTCCTTGAAGTTGATTGGCCTTTTGGCGTCATCTGGTCCAACCCATGTGAGACTAGGCTCTAAGGAAAGCTGTCACGGGTGTGGACCAATCAACGTCAAGGACAGTGCATACATTATCAGAGTTATGTTTTTTGTTTGCATTATGACTGCAGGTATTGTGGTCTATGCAAACATGACTACTTGTAAAAAAGGTGTCAGTTTTGTTGCCAGATGGAAGGGTAAAAAAGCAATTATCATATTTTGTAAGTTTAAAATTATTTTATTTTACCAGGTAAGGCCCACTGAGCCGATACGGCTCTTTGTCAGAAGCGACCTGCCCATCGCAAATGATGGCCCAATGAATTGGCTTATCAGCGTGCGCAAATTTCTAGCAGCCAAATGCTCTGAACGCATTATCGATTCCAAATGTGGAGGGGAAAAACTGGAGGACCCAGAGAAAATTCCAGGCCCAAATATACAGGGATCAGAGTCGGGATTGAACCCACGACCTCCTGCATACCAGGCGAGGTAGTTAACATCTCCTAGCCACTGTTATGCCCAGGGAGCAATAGCGGTTCTTTCTGCACGGCCGGTGACCAATCGACAACGATAACCATGGCAACACAAAGGTTAGAATTCCAGACATGAACCCATTTACCTCCCGCATACCAGGCGCTGTAGTTAACATCTCGACTCACCACGGCAACACAAAGTTGGAACTTCAGAGGCGTCAAAAAAGCTGAATGGGGGAAGTGTATTTTTATCACGTTGCCACATCTTGTTTCGCGGCGGCTGGCAGCCACGGAGGCTTTTGGAAATACTTTTTTTCTCCTAATCGATCGTATCCAGAGATTCATACTCTTAGGCTTTTTCGGTAAAGTCACGTAGCTAAAAAATAAAAAATAAATTATTTTTATTTTTTAGTATAAGTATGAATCCTTGCAGTCACGAAAGCTTCAAATCTCGAACGTATCCAGAGAGGCAATGGTCTGATGGACTACAACATACGTTGTGGGGATGACGGGATGGGGGAGAGGGGGGTGACGGAGTCGGTAGTAGGGGGGGACGATTATTGGTGCCGTGTGTTATCCCAATTGAGGCAGTTGCGGTGTCAATTTCGGGGTTGGCAAATTTGCACGGACGCAACACACTCAACTAAACCATTTGTTTTTACCAGCTGAGACACCACTGAGCTCTGGTTACATCAGCCCACAAGAGATTATTGTGTCCGTCCGTCCGTCGTGCATACAAAAATGGGTGGGGAGGGGCTGGGTGGGGAGGGGCTGGGTGGGGGGGTGGGAGGGGTGGGGCTGGGTGGGGAGGGGCTGGTCGCCCCGTGGTGCCCTTTAACGTTTAACCTACTCACGCCGGCTTGTGCCCGCCCTCAGTCGACCATATTTGCGGAATACACCACGTAAAGAACGGGCCCACATTCAATTTTCAAGCGGCGAGAATTGACCCCAGCCTGTGAGATTCACCACAACGGGGAAGGATTCATTCTCGCGCCGTGTTGCTGTACTGCACTGAATTCTGGGTCCCACAGTATGTGTGCGGAGGGTGGCGGACCAATAGTCCAGCGGTCAGCGCACTGCGCTACAAACCCGGCGACCCGAGTTCGATTCCCACTCACGACCAACACCAGTGGTAGCGATTATCTCAATCTGGTCCTGGGCCTCCCCTAGGTCGACTCAGCCTCAATGAGTACCTAGTGTGGGTTATAAACATCACCACTGAGGAGTCAAAGGCGGCCGGGCGCGGTGTTGACTATCCACCCTCGTGTGCCGTTCCAGCCTTCATAGGCGCTCGCTAACAGCACTTGCCCCAACAGTCTGTTAAGGCTATACGGGGGATCTTTGTCTTTGTGCGGAGGGACTCTTGCCTATGACACCAGGCAACACGACACTGCCGTTTGCTTAGCAGGAAAGTCAAACCGGTCTGGGGGTGGGTGGGTGGGCGGGTGGCCTGCTAACTCAAATATTGCCGAGTGAGCTGATGGGCAAAAATATTATGCAATTTTATTATCGCCAGTTTAAACAGAGGCCCCTGCTGCAATGCTTTATCGGACTTTTTTACGGCGCCGTGGTGGTGTCATTGCGCACTCGACTTGAGCTCGACTTGACGCCGTTTCGGTTCTAACTATCGGCCGTTACGGCGGTTGACCCAATGATGTTAAATTTCGATTTAAAGCTTTTGTGACTGCAGGGATTCATATTCTTGGTTCTTTCGGTAAAGTCACGTAGAAGGGAAATGATAAAATAATGAAAGATTGTTTTATTATTATTTTATTATTTCCCTTCTACGTGACTTTACCGAAAGAACCAAGAATACCAACGGTACTCTTAGGTTTTTTCGGTAAAGTCACGTAGGTAAAAAATAAAAAAATAAATTACAATTAATAAAAGTAAAATAAAAATCACGACGTTTCGGAAGCAACACAAGCTTCCGTCTTCAGGTGGAACCGTCACATTTTTATATATTTTTTTATTTTTTACCTACGTGACTTTACCGAAAAAACCTAAGAGTATGAATCCGTGCAGTCACGAAAGCTTCAAATCTAGAATTAATACCAAAGATGTTAGTTTCTAAAATACCCTCGGCAGTAGCCTCTGTCCTCCCGGCACTGTGAATGGGTGGAACCGGTCGACCGACAGGTCCCGTTCGGCGGGGTAAAGCCTGGGGTACTTCCACATCTTCCACGTCGTCTGGCCAGGAGGAGGTATCTCAAAGCGAGGAGGTGCCGGCGATGTTTGCATCTCGAACGAGGCGTTTCTTTCTGGAATGTTTCTTTCTGGAATGTTTCGCGCCCTCCGTCCCCGACCGCGCTAATCGGAGGTGCGGGGAGTGGAGGCTGACGAGCGAGAGGGCTCCGTGGCTCGTGCCGCACGCAGGCCCCATCTCGAGCGCGCTGGCCGGACGGATCGGCTGCCGCTCGACGGTGATGCTGGGCGGCCTGCTCACGAGCGTGGGCCTCATCCTCGCGTCGCTCAGCGGCTCCATCGGATACCTCTACGCTGCCGCCATCGTCAGCGGTCAGCTCGCGCGCCCGCACGCTCACCCGCACACTCGCCCGCACACTCGCCCGCGCTCGCCACCACGTGCTCACCCGCTCCCTCGCCCACACGCTCACTCGCCCACACGCTCACTCGCCCACACGCTCGCTCGCCCACACCCTCACTCGCCCACACGCTCACCCACACACTCGCCCGTACACTCACCAGCCCGCTCACCCGTTCCGCCGCACGCTCACCCGCACACTCGCCCGCGCTCGCCACCACGTGCTCACCCACTCCCTCACCCACACGCTCACTCGCCCACGCCCTCACCCACACGCTCACCACCCACACGCTCACCACCACACGCTCACCCGCGCGTTCACCCACGCCCTCACCCCCACGCGCTTACCCCCATGCGCTCACCACCACACGCTCGACCGCGCGCTCAATCGGCCTCGCCTGAAGCCGTCGCGTGACCTCTCGCACTCGGATGTAGATCCGCGAGTCGCTCGTCACAACGCCACGTGCAAGAGCACGACAACCGGTTATCGCCGCGTAGTTTATGGGCACGAGGGACTTGGACTTGCGACCCCCTCGCAAAACGCGCCAGGGTCTGCTGGCGCAGCGACGTGGCGGTTGCGCAACCTCGGTGCGGGCCAGCGTTGCCCAACAGCTGGGCCAGCCCGCGCTTTCTCTCTCTCCGGCACTGCCGTCAAAAACGCGCGATTCTCAATTAGCGGGGTCGCCAAGTTCAAATCGCGATCGCGGCCCAACGATTTAACTATTGTAACTGTTTGCATTTCACTCGGTAAGGCCCCCCCCGCTGAACTGTGTCGCTCCTTTTCACCAGCGACCTGGCCGTCAGAAATGAAAGCTCAAGGAAGTGGCTTATTGCATGTACATTTAGAGCAGTCGCCAAATACTCTTGAACGCACGTTTCTAAAACTGGTGTTCGATTTACTGACCCGCGTGGGATGATTGATGGGCCTAGTTGCGGCGCCATCGTGGCGAGATGTTAACTACTTCGCCTGGTTTTTCAGGAGGTCGTGGGTTTCAACTGGACCCTGACGCTTGCTGCTGTATATTTGTAGTTTGTGTCTCTCTCCGTGGTGAGATGTTAACTACCTCGCCTGGTATACAGGAGGTCGTGGGTTTCAACTCGACCCTGACGCCTGCTGCTGCTGTATATTTGTAGTTTGTGTCTCTCTCCGTGGTGAGATGTTAACTACCTCGCCTGGTATACAGGAGGTCGTGGGTTTCAACTCGACCCTGACGCCTGCTGCTGTATATTTGGAGTGTGTGTCTCTCTCTACCCCGTGGTCGCGAGGATCTTTCTCCGGTCCCCCGGAATTTCCCTCCACATTTCGAATCGACATGGCGCCTTCCGGAGTATAAGGCCGCCGTCTTCCGTTGAGCTTATCATTTGTGACGGCCGGGTCGTTCAGTGCGGGGGCCTTTACCTGCCGAAGTAAAAAAATGTAATAGTTCACTTGATAGTTTTATTGGGTACGGGCGAGAGGAGGAAGCGCCTCTCATTGTGACGTGCGCTCCGCACTTTGCCCAGCTGCGAGCGACTGTAACGCGAACGGCGCTCAGGAGTCAAAACGTCGCACGGGCCTCGCTCCTGACACAACGGGGCGTCGTGTTTCCAGAGCTATTACAGCCGGAGGGGGGGGGGGGGCTGCTGTGGGACGCTGGCGTCAGCTGGGCGTGGAGGCGCTCCCTCCCCGCCGGAACATCTCTAACGATTACCGCAGCATCTGGGGGGCTGGCACTTAGCTTGGCGTCGGCGATGTTTACCCGTCAAGCCACCGGCCGGCGGGAGCATGGCCGTTGTACAGGGTGCCTCGAGAAAATGTTTTTAACACTTCGGAGAATTTTCAACAATGCCACGAGAAATGTGCTGACTCTGGGCTCTGGAGACCACCTGGAGAAGATTCCAGGCACGCGTTGACAACGATGACGAACAAGTGGAGACTTTTAGAAACTATTAACATCACATTTGTTATCATGTTACAGTGTATTATCCCTTTTTTCCCATTAAAAACGATAGTCCCATGTAAGTGTTACGTACGTATGGACGTTGAACTTCTTTAGCGCTGTACGTCACCAATCGTGATAATCAGAGGTGATGCGATGAAGGAAATGTAGCCATCCCCCCCCGCCACCACCCCGTCCACTATCTCCGCCCTCTTAATAGCCTAGCGGCTCGGCCCTCAACTCTGGCCGTGGGGCCTGGTGCAGTAGCACTGCCGACACACTTGATAGATGAGCCACCGCCACTCCCTCTAAATACCACTCATTGCAAAACGATTCATATTAGCAGACAACAACAAAATTTACGCGGCAATAAGTTTTGTATTTGGGGGGGCGCATTTAGATCTCAGTCGGTGCCGCGCGGGGTCTGCCGCCGCTGGACGCCTCCTCGATGCTGCTGTTTGACCGCCGCCGATGAAAATCCGTCTGCTTACCGCACAGGCCTGGGCATTTGCCTGTGCTTCCAGCCGGCGCTCACCATCCTGGGCCACTACTTCCTCCGCCGGCGCTCGCTGGCGAACGGCGTGGCGTCGTCGGGCACGGCGGTCGGCATTTGCCTGCTGCCGCTCGTGGCGCAGGCGCTGCTGTCGAGGTACGGCTGGCGCGGGGCCTTCCTCATCATGGGCTCGCTGATCCTCAACTGCTGCGTGTGCGCCGCGCTCATGCGGCCCGTGGCCGCCGTCGTCGCCGCCGGCGCCGTCGCCGGCGCCGCGACACCCTCCGAGGACGCTCGCCGGAAGAGCGGCCGCAGAGAGACGGGCTTGTGCTGCTGCTGCATGGCGGAGCGGTGCGGTGAGAAGCCGGCCTCCGCGCTAGACGAGGCGGAGACGCTGGTGCGCAACGGCGGCGTGCCCGATGGCCGGCGGGCCGCCCCCGGCACGAACCTGAACGGCGGATTGTGCGGCTGCGGCGGAGCCGGCGGTTTAACCGACGCCACGTCGGGCACCGGCGGCAAGGAGCCCGTCGTGCCGCAGCTGAACGACGACGGGACCCGCGGCACCCACGGCACCCACGGCCCCGCGCCGCCGGACTTGACTTTGCGGTGCGGCGGCGGTGGAGGGGCGGACGACGCGGCGCGGCTTGCCCCGGCGAACGGGCACGGCCGCGCTCCCGCAGACGCGCCGATCGGCGGGGAGGGATCGCCGGGCGGCCGCGAGCGGTCGACGGCCCGCCGGCGCCTGGCCCGCGCCGCCGCCCGGGCCAACCTGGACCTGTTTGGCAACCCGCTGTACAGCATCTTCGTGTTCGGCACCACGCTCATGGTGCTGGGCTTCTTCGTGCCGGTCATCTTCCTGGTGCCGTACGCCCAGTCCATCGGCATGAGCGACGAGGAGGCGGCCGCCCTCCTCTCCATCAACGGCCTCATCAACATCTTCGGGCGCCCCGTGGCCGGCTGGGTGGGCGGCACAAAGATGTTCAGGTGACGGTCGGGGGGAGCGGTGGGGGCGACCGCCGGTTGTCGAATACGGTCCGGTGTCGGTGGCGTTCGTGCGGGGCCATTGCGGTGGGTTTCGGCGTCCGCGAGCGATCGTCTTTGCCCGATTGAGCGACTCGTGATCGTCGTTTGTCCTTCAAAGTTCTGGACCATGACGCCGGCACGCAATCGCCTCCTCTTCTCCGAACGATGGCACGGGATCTTTTTAAAACGTGCGCTGTGACGTATGTCGGAGTTAACGATGCACCCGTAGTAGCAGCAGGCTCGAGACTCGCTGGAGGGTTTCCTGGATAAGCAAAGGGCATCGTTATTATTCATTTATTTAGAGTGTTTGGACGCCATAAATTTCCACGTGATGATTAAGACGCTTCGATGGGCTAGCGTTTGTGGCCAGGTGGCTTCTGAAAAAGAGGGAAACGGCACATCAATGGGGTCTTAACCTGGTAAAATAAAAAATAGTTTAGTTTTAGTAGGAACTAATGTGTGGAGGTGCAGGGGGTGCCTTTGCTTTCTAACCCGTGGATATGAAGCTCTTTTTCACAGATGTCCATTAGGGGCATGGGGTCAGAACGTTGCAATGACAAACAAACAACACGATAGGAGTGAAAAGTATAGGAAAGGTGAGCAAATCACTAAAAATCTATACAAATAAAACTGAATAATCTTAACTTACCAGATAAAGCTCACTCATTGGGACGCTGTCTTTCCGACAGCTCTGTTCTTCCACCTGAGGACGGCTGCTTGTGTTGTGGCCGAAACGTCGTGAGAATTTCATTTTATTATCTTTTATTTTTATTATTTTATTATTTCCCTTCTACGTGACTTTACCGAAAGAACCAAGAATATATAAAGCCCCACTGAGCTCTTCGTTTTTTTTTCAGAAGCAACCTGGCCCCAAAGGATGGCTCAACAAAGTGGCTTTCACTCTTGGTTCTTTCGGTAAAGTCACGCAGAAGGAAAATAATAAAACAATAAAAACAAAACATAATAAAACAAAGTGGCTTTATTAAAGGCCGACATGGCACAAGAAAATTTGGTGTAGCCAGCATCACGCACGGCCACCTTTGACTCCTCATTGCAGATGTTTACACACCGCAACACGGTGATAAAACTAAGCGATGTTCATCCTACCGCTGAGCTATTTAGTTTGATTTTCCTCCAGGCCTTACCTGGCAAAAAAAAAAATTGAGTTTCTCGTTATTATTTGGCGAAACCCGACCGTACACATTCTCTGCGATGCGCGTTTACAGCCGGACGAGCCCGACTTAAAACAACGACGCGTCCGCCGATGATTTACGGTTCAGCCATGTCACCTCTTCTCTGGCCGCCGTGCAGGGCACCCATAATTTAATTCCGCGGGAGGGGAGGGGGGGTAGTTTGAACAACCCGGCGCTGATTAAGACCCACAGGACGATTTCGCAAATTTCCCCAAAATCTGCGCGATGACCCCGGCCGGGGTGACGCTGGCTTGGCCCTGCCGAACGCGAGCGCCAATCCCGCACGGCATCGTGTGGACTGCAGGAGGAGAAATCCGAATGGCCGTGAAGCTCTTTTTGCACGGATGTGCCGAGTTACAACGGCGAAAACAAAACGCGAAACGCGACGCAATCGGAGTGCAAAGTCGAGGAGATGGCAAGCGAGTCACTGGGGTGTGCAGTAGAAGCCCTCTTGACGACGGTGATTGGTTGCAAGAAACCGGTCCTCAAGCGATTCGCTCGTTAAGCGAGCAAAGGAGATGCACTCTAAAGGCTAAATGCGTTCCGAGGGCATTGAAAGTTATCCGCTTTTCACGCAAAAGACGCACGTTATAATGCTTAAACGATGGATATTCATACATTAAGATACTAACAACATTATGACGTTTCGATAACGCGAGACCATCAGGCAGGCGCACGCGAGCCGCCGTGGCAACAAAACTGACACCTTTTTACAAGGAGTCATGTTTGCATAGACCACAATACCTGCAGTCATAATGCAAACAAAACACACAACTCTGATAATGTGCACTGTCCTTGAAGTTGATTGGTCCACACCCGAGACAGCTTTCTTTAGAGCCGAGTCTCACATGGTGTTGGACCAGATGACGCCAAAAGAAGGCGGTCGCTCTCATTGACTGACGGGCGAGAATAAACAGATGGGCCACGTATGGAGTTACTGAGAGATGGCTCTCCTCGGGTCAGTCCTGCCTTCATCATGATGATGATCATCATCATCAGCCATGGTCAATCCACTGCTGGGATGAAGGCCTCCCCAACGCCGTGCCATGTCATCCCTTTGCCGTTGCGCCAACGTACGCGCACGTCACGCTGTGTGTGTACGGTTAATGAATGCATACTACTATAATGAGCCCAGAATGTGTGTGTGTCCCGCGCGTGACGTCACTCCACATGAGGCCCACCCCCCTGCGTGACGTCACTCCACATGAGGCTCACCCCCCCCCCCCACATGTGACGTCACTTCACATGAGGCCCACCCCCCCCCCCACATGTGACGTCACTTCACATGAGGCCCACCCCCCCTCACGTGTGACGTCACTCCACATGAGGCTCACACCCCCCCCCCCTCATTAATATTCATGCCCGCGTGGAAATTTACACAAACGCACAAGAAGGTCGCGCACTCCACATGCCCCACCCCTCCCCTCATTAATATTCATGAGCGGGTGACGTCACTCCACATGCTGCATCCCTCCACAATAACCATGAGGGGGTGACGTCACTCCACATGGGGCAACTCCCCCCCCCCTCATTAATAATCATGAACTGAACGGGCAAAAAAGCTTAGTTACTTAATATTTACTGTACCTACAACAACAGCCCGTCGTGAACAGGGGCTTTATGGAGGCACTACACTACTATACACTACACGATACACTACTATACACTACACGATACACTACTATACACTACACTACTATGCACTACACTACTATGCACTACACTACTATACACTACACGATACACTACACTACTATGCACTACACTACTATACACCACTATACACTACACTATACACTACACTACTATGCACTACACTACTATACACTACACGATACACTACACTACTATACACTACACTACTACACTACTATACACTACTACACTACTATACACTACACTATACACTACACATTGGGCTCTGTGGAGGCCCGTAGTTCAGCGATTAAACATGGGAGTGGTCGTTAAGAGGGGGGGTCTACTGTAAATGAATAATAAATTAAGTTCTATTTATAAAAAAAATTGGGGCAAGGAAGCAAACACAACGACTATCAATAGTTCCCCAGACAGGACCACATTGACACCCACACAGCCTTGTGGTAGCAGGAGTCCCCCGACAATGTCGCCTTCCTGGGGCAGGCATTTCCTGCCCCACCACACCTTGAGACGCACACACGAGTCAAACAAAGGTGAACACCACGCCACTCACAAACACGACGAGTCTTAGTATAGTAATAGGTTTTTACCCTTTCAACTGGTACAAAAACTGACACCTTTATACAAGGGATCATGTTTGCAATAACCACAACACAAGCAGTCAAAATGCAAACAAAAAGAAACAACTCTGATAATGATATGCACTGTCCTTGAAGTTGGTTGGTCCACACCCGAGCGTCTAGGAAGTCCCGCACGGCGATGCGACTTAAGAGACCGCCCCCCCCCCCCCCCCCCCCCCACTATCTACCACGGTGTTTTCCACTCCGCGTGTTTTGTCCCGACCGGCAAGGCGACGTGAACGCCGCTTGTGCCCGCGGCAGGGCCGGTGACGTAACACGGAGTCGGGAGCCGGTCGTCGTGCAGGCCTCGTGTCATTCCAGAACGAGTGGGGAACTCTTTTCCCCCAGTGATGTTGGGGGGCGGAGGTGGAACGTCGTGGGAGTTTCCCACCCTCTCTCTCCCTGCGTTGCTTGACTGTCAAACCAATGTTTTATTATTCTTGGTTCTTTCGGTAAAGTCACGTAGAAGGGAAACAATAAAACATTGAATTTTGATTTCAAGCTTTCATAACTGCAGGGATTCATATTCTTGGTTCTTTCGGTAAAGTCGCGTAGAAGGTAAACAATAAAATAATATTTTTATAATTTTATTTCAAGCTTCGTGACTGTAGGGATTCATATTCTTGGTTCTTTCGGTAAAGTCACGTAGAAGGTAAACAATAAAATAAGATTTTTTTAATTTTATTGTTTCCCTTCTACGTGACTTTACCGAAAGAACCAGAATATGAATCCCTGCAGTCACGAAAGCTTTAAATAAAAATTCAATGTTTTATTGTTTCCCTTCTACGTGACTTTACCGAAAGAACCAAGAATATGAATCCCTGCAGTCACGAAAGCTTTAAATCAAAATTCAATGTTTTGTTGTCGAGTGCTGGAATGTGGCCACATTAAATGCGGAAACCAGAGGTCGCAAACGGGTTTTGATTCCTTACCCGTACCCGTACCTGGCCGCACCAGGGTCGCAAACGGGTACCCGTACCCAGCCGGGTACGGGTAGCCGGGTATCGGGTAGGGTACGGGTACCCGATTGCGACCTCTGGGATGAAGCCATGTTGCAGGCGCGGGTGGGTTGATTCAAGGAACTTAAATTGTGAGAAGAGACAAGACGTTGGGAAGTGAGTGACAAACGGTTACTCACCAGTGACTCGCGGCCTACCCGTACCCGTACCCGGCCGCACCAGGGTCACAAACGGGTACCCGTACCCGTACCCGGCCAGGTACGGGTAGCCGGGTATCTGGTAGGGTATCGGGTACCCGATTGCGACCTCTGGCGGAAACCGGGATTAACGTGATTGTTATTTCTTGTGCAGTCGTTGGTGACCCGGGGTGCCGCGGTGGCGGGGATGTTAACTACCTCGCCTGGTACGCCGGAGGTCATGGGTTCGATTCCGACCCTGACGCCGGCTGTATTTTTTAAGTTTGCCCCGTCTCTCTTCCCGTGGTCCCGTGGAGTTTTCTCCGGGTCCTCCGGTTTTTCCTTCCACATTTAGAATCAGCTTCACACGTTTCGAGTATTCGCCCGCGAAATATTTCCACACGGCGATGATGATGATGATAAGCCACTACGTTGAGCTATCATTTGCGATGGCCAACTCGCTTCTGATGAAGACCTACACAGCTCAGCGAGGCCTTACCTCGTAAAATACACACAGTGAAATCGTCGGGCCTCGATCGCGATTTGAACTCCAGCCGTGTCACGAATGTCAACTCCCACTGCTGCACATGAGCTGAACCCCGGCGCTCTCTGACCCCCCCCCCCCCATCGCACGCAGGGGCCGCAGCGTGTACCTGTACAGCGGCGCCGCCTTCCTGAGCGGCGCCAACAACCTGCTGTGCGGCCTCTTGCGTGGCCGCGGGGCGCTGCTGGCGTTCTGCGTGTGCCACGGCCTCACGTGCAGCGTCGTCGGCGGCGTGGTCTTCACCGTCATCGCCGAGTCCATCCCCGCCGGGCGCTTTGCCGCCGCGCTAGGCCTCTTCACCGTGCTGGAGAGCGTCTCCTTCCTCGTGGGCCCGCCGGCCGCCGGTGAGGTCCCGTCCGCCCCCCCCGCCCCCCCCCCGCAACCTGGGAAGGTGGCGGCAGATTGCCGAGGCCTCTATCCAGCAGTGGATTGATCATGGCTGATGACAAACGATGATGACGACGACGACTGCCCAGCTCCCTCTATCTACGATCAGGCCTCCCACGACGCCTCCCTAACACCTGTACTGTGGTCACCAAAATTCCACCTTACCGCCACTTTTATCGAGCCCATTCTTCATCTCGAACCGCGCTGCCTTACGCGCAATCCTTTGTTGTCGCGGCCGTTACGAGCGCCGCAAAGCGCCTGGGACAAACGGCGGGACGCGTAGGCCTCGGCAAGGTAAGGTAATCTACCCTTTTTATCGGGTAAAAGGGTAAAGGTGTCGACATGCCAAGGGGTAAGGTAAAGGTAAGCTCGTTGCTTTTTACCTTTTACCTTACCTGCTAAAGGGTAAAAGGTAGGGTAGAGGTGGGCTCGTTGTTTTTAACTTTTACCTTACCTTGCCGAGGCCTAGGGACGGGCGAGTGGGCGGGTGCAACTCGCACGTTTCGATAACGCGAGCCCATTGGGCAGGAGCACGCGAGCCGCCGTGCCACGCGCGTGCCGCTAGGCACGAGGCAATAACTCTACCCAGGCACGTGACCACGCTATGCAAAGGGTCAGGACTTTATGAACGGGTTGGTTCTTGCTAAAAGAAGGCGGTCGCTCTCATTGACTGACGGGCGAGAGTAAACAGACGGGCCACGTATGGAGTTACTGAGAGCGGACTCGCCTTGGGTCAGTCCCGCCTTTATCATGATGATCATCATCATCATCAGCTATGGTCAATCCACTGCTGGGATGAAGGCCTCCCCAACGCCGTGCCATGTCATCCCTTTGCCGTTGCGCCAACGTACGTGCACGTCACGCCGTGTGTGCACGCCATCGGTTTTACTTCCGATTACAATTCTAGCGTACGTCATCGTAACGGAATCGGAAGAAAAAAAAACTTTAGTCAAACAACCCGCATCGGTACGTTTTCGGGTCGAAAGACGCACCCCGACACTCCCGCAAGGCCACGCGGGAGGGGCGTTTGGCACATTTTGGCGCCGGCCGTCGTAGAGCGCCGGCGGTCGTGTCGCCCACGGTTCTCTGCTCGGCGCGTTCCGAGATTTGTCGGAGAACGGGGGACACCCCACCGACGCGAACGGGCAAGGGTTCAACTCCCGGGGCGACTGCGAGCGCGTCCCTTGAGCGTGTTTTGTCCCGCCCCCCCGCAGGCTTCCTGGTGGACTACACGGGCACGTACAGCGTCGTGTTCCTCACCTGCGGCGTCATCGTCATGGTCTCCACGTTGTTCATGGGCGTCGCGACGTACTTCGTGCGACGACGCAACGCCGCCGCCGCCGCCGCGTCCGGCCGCCCCCCCGCTGGGAAGGAGCCGGCCACGTGCGCCGGCGCAGTGCCGGACGCCGACCGCAAAGAGAAGGAGGCCGTCGTTTGAGGGCAAAGAGAAGAGGGAAGGAGGCCGTCGTTTGAGGGCGTGCTCGCGGTCGCCGGCTACCGACCGGCGTTCGGGCGGGAAGCTCGTTACACGCGCCAAGCGCTCCTTGCCACGAGCGAGGACCGCCAGTGCCTCTTGTCAGGGAGCATGAAGCGCCGTCACGCGAGCCCCGGTCATCCTGGCCAGCCCGTCGAACGAAGACGGGCGCCGCGTCGTGCACTTTCAGACGCTCTTCGTTCTTCGAACGCGCTCTTCATACCGATATTAGGAAGCCACTGGAGCAATGTTGTTTTAAATCATCATCTTGATTGATGAACTTTTTGAGATCTGCTTTTTTGTGTTTAGTTTAGCTGTCCTTGCCCCCCCGCACCGCAGATTAGCACGGCTGGCTACGTACGGTGTGAAGGAAGTTCAACCGCACTTACAACTGGGAGGTTTAGTGACCGGCCGAGACCTGAAATCCGGTTAGGGGGTGCACCACGTGAAAGAGGTTTTTGGTTTCGGTTCGAAAACCTCTCCGTCCAAAGCGAACCTCGACGTGCCTCCCTGCTCTGGCACGGAGTAAGAAGGCGATCGGGAGGTGGGGGGGGGGGGCCCGGGGGGGTGGCCCCAGAGCCGTTGGTGGAAATTCCACGTTCCCATGGTGGGAACGAGTCTCGTCCCATGACAGGACAGCCCCCATCGCCGCCCCCCCCCCCCCCCCCCCCCCGCGTTGAGCTGCTGAAGGATGTCGGGCCGGGCTGGACCTCACTCGTGGACTTCAATTCGGAACGTTCGTAGCTGTCCGGCACGCGCCGTGGGAATGCTGTGGGGGGGGGGGGGCACAATCACATCTCACGGTGGCTATGAGATGTTAACTACCTCGCCTGGTATGCAGGGAGTCGTGGGTTTGATCCCGATCCTGGCGCCTGCTGCTGTATATTTGGAGTTTGTGTCTCTCTCCGTGGTGAGATGTTAACTACCTTGCCTGGTATACAGGAGGTGGTGGGTTCGAACCCGACCCTGGCACCTGCTGCTGTATATTTGGAGTTTGCGTCTCTCTCTCTCCCCGTGGTCTCGCAGACTTTTCTCTGGGTCCTCCGGTTCTTCCCTCCCAGATTTAGAATCGAAATGCGTTTAGAGTATTTTGCTGCTATAAATCTCCACGTGATAAGCAACTCCGTTGGGCTGTCACTCGTGAGGTCGCTTCTGAAAAAAGAGCTGTATAGCTCCAGTGGGGCCTTACCTGGTAAAATAACGATTTTTTTCTTTTTTTTAGCAATGGAGAAAATGCATGGCACAGGTGTGTTTTATGAATTTAGAACCCCGTTTAAAAAGCGTGAGAATTGTAACATCGGACATTGCGAAAGAGTAGGCCAAAAATTATCTTCAAGAGAGTGCTCCGTAGAGCTCCCTGGAGCGGAGGCCCCTTTCTCCCAGCAGCGGCGAGAGAAATTGCAGAGCTGCGCCTTTAACTTTAAAATGTGCACAGTGCAGTCACGCGGAGAAGTGCGGGCAATGCTTAGCATCCGTAATAGAGGTTTTTTTGGGGGTTAGATCGCGTAAATATAAACGCGTCGTTAAACCCGCCAACACTCCGACACGGCCAATTGCTAAGGTTTGTCACGTGAACAAAACGTGCCAATTCGTTGCTAGTTCAGCACACCGGTTCGTAGGAGAGTAAACCCACAATGCGTAGTAGTCCGGGGCGGGTGGTGCGAACCAGACCCTGATTACGAAGTCACGGGGCAGCTGGCCTGAGCGATGGAATCGAGCAGGGCGCAATGTGCTTAGTCACGAGGGCGCACGCAAGGTCACTCAGCCACCGTCCGCATGCGCCGGTTATCGCCGGCGAGGCTGCCAAGCGGTCCGCGTGCTTGCGTGGCTGTGGACACAGGCGGCCCACATGCCCGCGGGGGTGAGCGGGGTGGGGGGTGGGGGGGAGAGGCGGTAGTGTAAGTGGCGGTTCACGTTTAAAGTGACGTTTTCTTGAACGGGGTGAGAACTCAAGAAGCCACGATTCGTCTCACAATTGCCAAGAGTGACCCGGAGCCATCGGTCTGCCAGTCGGGGGCGGGCGGGCGGGTGGGTGTGATGGGTGTGTATGACGCGATGCTGCTGTGTAATCCCAATCGAGTAATTTTGCGGTTGTTTAGAGTTCGAAATTGGCAAATTTAGAATCGTGATCTTTATTTTATCCCGGAGAAATCCGATGAGTTATGAAGCTATTTTTTTTTGTCTCAGATGTCCTATAAAATGTGTAACCTGGGGGGACCTTTAGCGTGCACGGCGGAGCGGGTGGCACGTAGTGCTAATGCGGTTAATGCACCCGCAGTACCAATCGTTACGCGAGTTCGATTCCTTGTCAGTTCGGTGGTGAATATCGGAATCGTTCTGGTACGTGTACAAGGTCAACTAAACCTTGAAAACTAGGGGCGCTGGGGTGAACAGATGTTAACTACCTCGCCTGGTATGCAAGAGGTCGTGGGTTCGATCCCGACCCTGACGCCTGCTGCTGTATATTTGGAGTTTGCGTGGTCGTGGGATTTTTCTCCGGGTCCTCCGGTTTTTCCCTCCGCATTTAGAAACATCGTGCGTTTAGAGTATTTGGTTGCGATACATTTCCACGTGGTGATGATGATGATGAGCCACTTCTAAGAGCTATCATTCGTGAAAGCCAGGTCGCTACTGACAAAGAGCTATGTAGTAGCTCGGTTGAGTTTATTTTTTTTTTTAGCACCGTGTTGCGGTGTGTAAGCATCTGCAATGGGGAGACAAAGGTGGCCGGGCGTGATGCTGGCCACACCAATTCCTCTTGTGCCATACCGGCCTGAACAAGTGCTCACTAACAGGACTTGCCCCAATAGCCTGTACGGCTATGCGGGTGGTATTTATCATGAAACCCGCGCGCTTGCCAATGCTACTCTTCAGACATATCATGGGTGATGCTGCACCACGTTGTGGCTTGCACAATCAACGGCACTCGCCAGATTCCCGGACTCTATGGAGATGTCTTTCGGAAATGTTATTATTGTTTTTTAAACGACTGAAATATTTTGTAAACGGCGCTTTTACATGGTACGAAACACTAAAGCAATACTGTATCGGACTTGTTGCGATATCCACGCGTGTTAAAGAATAACCCCCTCCCCGCCCTTAATCAACTTTGCACAAAAGGAAACCAATACTGCACTGCCAATCGCTGAGATTCCCGCTGTGAAAACGGATTGCCAGTTCAGCTCTCCGTCCCAATGGAAGTGTTCAACTTGACATGGGGGAGAGGGGGGGGGGCAATAACGACCTCTCCGTTACTTTTAGTTTTTTTCCGGTAAAGTCACGTAGGTAAAAAACTAAATAAATTTTACCCACGTGACTTTACCGAAAAAAACTTAAAGTATGGATCCTTGCAGTCACGAAAACTTCAAATCTAGAATTAGGGCCTCTCCTTTCTCCCGCTGTACGGCGACGGGGGTAGTCGATCATCGGTGTTTATCCGTCCGCGTCGAGGTTTTGATGAGCGAACAGGCGGAGGCGGCGGGTGGCTTCAGGAGTCTCCTGAAATCCCAGGTGGCCAGGTGGGGGAAGAGGTCAGCGCGCTGAGCTGGCAACGGCTGCCGTGAGCCGTGGTCACCGATGGCTGCAACAATAACAAGCCCTATGAGACCTCCTTTACCGGTGGCAAAATATAATAGTAGGTTTTTACCCTTTCAACTGGTACAAAACTGACACCTTTATACAAGGCATCATGTTTGCAATAACCACAACACAAGCAGTCAAAATGCAAACAAAAAGAAACAACGCTGATAATGATGATATGCACTGTCCTTGAAATTGATTGGTCCACACCCGAGACAGCTTTCTTTAGAGCCTAGTCTCCATTGGTGTTGGACCAGATGACGCCAAAAGGCGTTGTTACTACAATAACAAGTCCGTCGAAATTAATTTTGGCGACGAAAATGCCAGCTCTGTCACGCGACGCACATTATTACTGCCTTGCGCGCAGCCGGGGTTGGAGAGTGCTGCTTACTACTCTGTGTGAACCAGAGGTCAGATGATTGAGGGCACCTCAGAAGTAGCTCTGTGGTGTCCGCCTCCCACCGGCGGTTTTCTGCTCCGTGCGAGAATTCCGCAATGGATTATCCGTCGTCTCGTGAGGTGGACGCCAGGAGCACAGTTGGGATGAAGTCAGGGTGAAAAATCATGATTAATAACAAGCGCCTGGAACGCGTTTGGCCTGGCGCCACGGCTCGCCGCTGCCGGGCCTCGAGCGAGTCTCGATGTCACAGCTCCCGTCGCTGATCACGCTGGGACGGATGTGATGCACGTAACATCGTAATGTCACAGCATTGTGATGTCGCACTTCGTTACACGCAAAGTGTGCTCGTCGCAAACGAACCACAATTACCTTGGCTAATCTCGTCAAGGTGCGATCGACCATCACGTGAACTCCGCTCATCCTCTTAGCAGCAGCAGCAGCAGCGGCGGCTTTTGGCTCGGCCGTCGAACAAAGACTGAGGTCACCCACCGCGTCGTCGCGCGGCGCTTTCAGATGCGCTTCTGCGGCCGTCTGGAACGCTCTTCCCAAGGAAGCCACCGGGAGCTGTGCACTTTAAAATCGTCGACATTGACTCACTTCTTTAGAGCTGCTAATTGCTGTTGTGTTTAGCTTGGTGTCCTCCCACCGCCCCGCACCTGCGATTAGCCACGACCGGCCACGCGCGGTGTTCGACACCCGGACAAGTTGACGACCGTCGCCGCGTTAAACAAATCCCACATTGCACCGCCACAAAACCACCGATGCGCCGAGGTGACCCGGCTCACGGCACTTGGCTGACCCACCCTGACTCGGGGGGGGAGGGGGCAGCGAAGTAAGCCGCACACCCCCCCCCCCCCCCCCGGATTCGGTACGGTGGCACAATGACTTCTCTGTACGGTGCTGCGGTGCTTAATCTCCTTTTAATTGACGTTTTGTGTAAACGGCCTGTAGCCGCCCCCCCCCCGTACACCGCTGCTCCACCGAGCGGCCGCTGTTGTTTCTTCTTGTTGTATTCACTCCACGCGCCGGCCACTGGCAATGGCAGTTGTAGCAATGGGGGTCAAGTCTCTTCCACCCACCCCACAGCGCCTCTCGTCCATCCAGCGGTGCGATTGTCTGCGCCCGCGGTCGATCGGCAGGTCACTGTTTAGTGGGGTTAAAGTGCGGGCAGGTCAGGTGGGGTGGGGTTAAAGTGCGGGCAGGTCACGTGGGGTCGGGTTAAAGTGCGGGCAGGTCACGTGGGGTGGGGTTAAAGTGTGGGCAGGTCACGTGGGGTCGGGTTAAAGTGCGGGCAGGTCACGTGGGGTCGGGTTAAAGTGGGGGCAGGTCACGTGGGGTGGGGTTAAAGTGTGGGCAGGTCACGTGTGGTGGGTTAAAGTGCGGGCAGGTCACGTGCGTTGAGTTAAAGTGCGGGCAGGTCACGTGGGGTGGGGTTAAAGTGTGGGCAGGTCACGTGGGGTGGGTTAAAGTGCGGGCAGGTCACGTGCGTTGGGGTAAAAGTGTGGGTATCCCCCCGCCACCACGACCCCGCCCCACCTCTTCCACACGAGGTCTGGCTAGCTTATAAGAGAAGGCTAAAATAATCTCTCTCCTCTCTCTTTCGTGAGCGGCCTCCGTCGGGCGCGGCGCAAAAAACGAGGCATTCGCAGGGCTGCTCCTTTACCTTTCTACCTTGTGTCCCTGTGGGCCCGTGCGACAGTTTACATTCGTGCATCGACGCGTGGTTTTTTACGTGAATTCAAGACAAACAAATTAACCCGTAAAAACTAAGTTTTTCACTATAAATCCTTTATATGCGTGGCGGCTAGAGTCCTCTCGTCCTCTGGCTTGAGATGGCTGCCACCTATGGGTCAGATGATTGCATTGCACCATTAAGCAATTGGTAATTAAATATAATATTTTTGTCCTAAAAAGTGTAAAATTTTGGAAAAAAAATTTCACGAACATTGTCACGCACAACGAGTCTGTGTGGAAAATGTCAGCTCGATTGGATCACGGTAAGTGGGTTAAAAAACGACCACAAGATTTGCACAGTCCTAAGCAAGCAAGCGAACTTAATATAAAGGATTTAAAAAAAGGTGTTGACCTGTAATGTGAACACCGTCCCGTGACTTTTGATTACCCGACACTGAATTTGACGGTGGAAGTGCTCAAACCGAGTCGTATTTGCTCGCCCCGCTGTATTGTGAGCCGTTTATCGATGTGGCATTTTTGCCCGAAATCATATTTAACCTTCGAATGAATTCCGAGTTTCGGGTGCGCGGAATGAAATGCGTACGTCGCTCCCAAAAAGAACACAAGAATACTTTAGCGAGGAATCACGTTCCGCGTCAATCGCACGCGGTAGCTTGTGGTGAACATGCAAACACAAACATGCTCTGACAATTCTAGATTTGAAGCTTTCGTGACTGCAAGGATCCAGACCCTTTGGTTCTTTCGGTAAAGTCACGTAGGTGAAAAAATTAAAAACATAAAAAATAAAAACATTAAAATAAGAATAACATTTAAATAAAATAAAAATAGAAATGGCTAAATTAAATCACGACGTTTCGATTGCAACACAAGCAATCATCATCAGGTGTGGAAATGGCTAAATTAAATCACGACGTTTCAATCGAAACGTCGTGATTGAATTTAGTTATTTTTTATTTTATAATTTTTTCACCTACGTGACTTTACCGAAAGAGCCAAAGAGTATGCTCTGACAATATGCTTTTACTTGAATTGTCTTTGAAACCGATTTGGCCTCGACCAGAGGTCGCAAACGGGTTTTGATTCCTTACCCGTACCCAGCCGCAGCAGGGTCGCAAATGGGTACCCGTTCCCTACCCGTACCCTACCCGAAATGAGTGACAAACGGTGACTCACCAGTGACTCACGGCCTACCCGTACCCGGCCGCACCAGGGTAGCAAATGGGTACCTGTACCCGGCCGGGTACGGGTACCCATTCCCTACCCGTACCCTACCCGAAATGAGTGACAAACGGTTACTCACCAGTGACTCACGGCCTACCCGTACCCGGCCGCACCAGGGTCGCAAATGGGTACCCGTACCCGTACCCGGCCAGGTACGGGTAGCCGGGTATCGGGTAGGGTACGGGTATCGGGTACCCGGTTGCGACCTCTGGCCTCGACCGAAGACAGACTTCTCGATGGCCTCGTCTCTCCACCACTGTTAGACCGGATGACGACGACGACGACGACGCCGAAAGGCAAACAGCGGTTTGAACATCTCAACACCGATTTAAAGCTTTCGTGACTGCAGGGATTCATCTTCTTGGTTCTTTCGGTAAAGTCACGTAGAAGGGAAATATTTATTTTTATTTTATAGTTTTATTTTTTGTATTTTATGATTTCCCTTCTACGTGACTTTACCGAAAGAACCAATAAGATCTTAACACCGGTTTCATTGGCAGAAAGGGGCAAGACCTATCTTATTTTTTTTGACACTGGCAAAAAGGTAATTGTGCGTGAATTTCGATTTCGCGAAGCGTCCTTTTTTTTAGATGGTAAGGAACCAAAAAAAAAGACGTGAGTCCGATTTTTAACCGCGTTATATCACTTTAATTTAAAGAGAGCTGCACTATACAAAACGTATTTTTGAAATGACTTGTTTTGTACTTTTTACAAACAATGCGGTCAATGTGTTTGTATTTGCACATACGTCACTGGAAGTTCCTGAATTGTTTCGAGAATGTCATAAAAAATGCCTTTGTCGGCATCACAAACTCTCGTTTCAGAAGTGTTCCTTGCCACATCAACATCCGCATGGCCCCCCTTGACGTGGTGACCGAGGGATAGAGTGTGGGGGGGGGGGGTGTTTGGGTTAGATCGCGTAAATAGAAATGTGTCGTGAAACCCGCCACCATCCGGCACAGCCAATTAGTAAACAGAAGGTGGCCAATTCGTTACTGGTACAGCACACCGGTGTGTTGGAGAGTAACTAAGTAATCTCGAATTGAAGCTTTAGTGACTGCAGAAATGACTATACTCATTGGTTCTTTTGGTAAAGTCACGGTATGTAGAAATAAAATAAAATTAAAAATAAAATAAAAATAGACGGTTAGAACTCAACACAAGCTTTTGTCACTGCAGCATAAAATAACATTTAAAATAAAATTAGAAATTTCAAACGCAACACAAGCGCTCATCATCAGGTGCGCGCTTGTGTTGCAATCGAAACGTCTATTTTAACTTTTATTTTAACTTTTATTTGATTTCTACATACGTGACTTTACCGAAAGACCCAAGAATAAGTACTCTGATTGTAAATGTCGTGGATTAAATAAGTAAAGACATCGGCGTAGGTCAGAGAGCGTACATGTGAATGTTGTGTCGTCAAACCCGCCACCACCCGACACAGCCAATTTTTTTAAGTTGCGTCACGTAAACAGAACGTGCCGATAAGTTTGATCACTTGTGCATTCCGTGCCAAATCCGTTACCACTTCAGCACTGCTGCTGAAAAGTCGTAACTTTTTGGCACGATTTCTTTAAGCGACAAGAGCCTTGCTACTTGGCCGTGCCGGGTGGTGGTGGGTTCACAACACATTTATATTCATTGTGGAGCATTCATCATCAACCTCCAGGAGACCAACGCAAGTTGAGAATAATAGAGGGGTTTTTTTTTGGGGGGGGGGTGGGTGAGATCGCGTAAATATATAAATGTGTCGTTAAAACCCGCCACCACCCGACACAGCCAACTAGTAAGGGCTGTCACGTAAACAGAACGTGGCCAATTCGTCACTAGTACATCACTAACTGGTTGTGTTGAGAATCACTGGCTTACGACTAGGCCTCGGCAAGGTAAGGTAAAAGGTCAAAAGCAACGAGCCTACCTTTATTTTACCTTTTACCTGATCACAATACAATCACTCTACCCTGACCTTTTACCCTTTAGCAAGGTAAGGCAAAAGGTCAAAAGCAACGAGCCTACCGTTACCCTACCTTTTACCCTTACCCCATTACAAATTGCCCGATTACACGGTAATTACTGGGGTACTACTACACATGAACAAGGGTTATAACAGGTAAATTCTTGGTAGAGTGCTTTATTCACATAGAATACTCTCCATGATTCCAATTTTAAATGAAAGCCACGGACTGCGCCACGGAGCTTTTAGCAAGCGGTAAACAAGATGTTTACCGGGTAATACTTCACGCTACCTTTACCCTACCCTTTACCTTACCCATTGCCATGACGACACCTTTGCCTTTACCCTTTTACTCGGTAAAAAGGGTAAAACACATTCCTGCGGAGGGAGCTGGCAGGGACGTAGGGTTGCTCGGCCAATGGCCAGGGTCAACGGCGGCGTGGTGTATTCCGCAAATATGCCCGACTGTGAGGGCGGGCACAAGCCGGCGTGAGTAGGTTAAACGTTGAGTTTTATAAGGGCACCACGGGGTGACCAACCTCTCCCCACCCAGCCCCTCCCCACCCAGCCCCTCCCTCCCCACCTCCCACCCAGCCCCACCCTCCCCACCCAGCCCCTCCCCACCCACCCAGCCCCACCCCCCACACAGCCCCACCCAGCCCCACCCAGCTCCTCCCCACCCACCCCTCCCACCCCCCACCCAGCCCCACCCCTCCCACCCAGCCCCACCCCTCCCACCCAGCCCCACCCCTCCCACCCCCCACCCAGCCCCACCCTCCCCACCCTCCCCACCCAGCCCCTCTCCACCCAGCCCCACCCTCCCCACCCAGCCCCACCCTCCCCACTCAGCCCCTCCCTGCACGACGGACGGACACAATAATCCCCTGTGGGCTGGTGTAACGAGGTGGTTCTTACCAGTATTACCTTCCCTTGACGAGGCCTACTGCTGACTCCAGTGGTGTGACAGCGTCCCCTGGTGGACTCTCCATGTAGCTGCAACGACCTTCAACGCGCAAATGAACAATGTCCAACAGGCCCGGCCCACGCGTTAGAGGCCTCTCTCCCCATCTCGCCCGGTTGACTCGCCCGCAGGAAACAACAATAACAGCCAAAAATATAAACGTATATTTAACAGAAAACACACACGCACGACGACGCAGTTTTCACCGAAAGCGGCGCTCATAAATAGACAAAGATTTAAAAAAGCGAAGCACGGATTGGGAGGAAAAAAGGAAATAAAAAATAATGCTAAAAGTGATGGCAGCGGTGGGATTCGAACCCACGCCTCCGGAGAGACTGGAGCCTAAATCCAGCGCCTTAGACCGCTCGGCCACGCTACCCGATGCTTAAGGCCGTAGCAGCAATGAGTACTTGAGTCTCACCGATGGACACTGACTGCTCCATCTCCACGTTTAGGAGTTTAAGATGCTCCAGGAAAGAGCAAGACGTACAAACCTCCCTCACCACCATCACAGCCCCCTCACACCACGATGCGTTTGTTGCCCGCGCGCGGTTAGTGATACGGAATGAGACGCGTTCGAGCCGCGTCGAGCGAAACGTCGGACAACACGCAGCGGTCTGCCTCGTGGCAGGAGGCTCCGCTTGAGGTTGCAACCGCAGCGGCCGCCCTGGTTAATCTTTAACCGGCTGTCTGTTAGCCGTTAACACACGCGCGCGCGTAAGTGGTAGTAGTAGTGGTGCTTTCGCTAACAATATTATTCACAATAAGAGTTTTTTTTTAATAAATGTGTGTCGTTTAACCCGCCACCACCCGACACAGACAATTAGTAAGGGGTTGTTACGTAAGGGGCCGTTCATAAATGACGTCACGCACCTAGGGGGGGGGGGGGCAGACATTTGTGACGATGTGTGACGAGGGGGGAGGGGTTGAGAAATGTGACGTCACATGAAAATGCGCAACTTTAAATAAATATAGACAACACGTTCTACTTAATTAAATAGACTTTTTAATAAATGTTTTCTCCTACAACATCAGAGTGCAGCGCCACATTAAATACGTACTACAATCACAATAGTTTAAAGCGATTTGAAGCATATTCTTGGTTCTTTCGGTAAAGTCACGGAGAAGGAAAATAATAAAATAATAAAAATAAAACATAAAAAAATATATAATAATTTAATATAATTATTTTTTATATTTTATTATTTTCCCTCTACGTGACTTTACCGAAAGAACCAAGAAGATGAATCCCTGCAGTCACGAAAGCTTTAAAACGATTTGAAGCATGTTTTATTTTCAAAATGTAAATATGTTTTTTTGGGGGGGGGGGGGCAGAGCTTTGTGACGTCATTTTTGAGGGGGTGGGGGGTCTGACTTTTTGTGACGCCGTGTGTGACGAGGGGGGAGGGGGGTCAAAAAACGTCCAAAATCACGTGACGTCATTTATGGACGACCCTTTAATCCAGGGCACAACGCACGCGAGACGCGGCACAGCGGCGCAAAGAAAAAGTCCCGGCAGTGTCCACTGGAGGGCGCTGCACAATCGCGTCACGTGTGACCCCGCAGGCGACAGTGGCCACGCGCCCTCCCCAACCGACGTGGGCACGTGACGTCACCGCGTGTTCAAGGCGCTGGCACAGAAACATTGGGAATATTATATTACGTAGGTAAATTTTTAATAAAAATATGATTTCTATATTTTTTACTAAAAAAATAAAAATAATATTCTTATTTCTATTATTTGTATTATTTATTTTTAACTAACAAAAAAATAGTTTAAAAAAAATATTTTTAATATTTATTTTTAACAAAAAATAAAAATAAATAAAAAGACTCTTATTTCAATATTTTGTATTTATAACTAAAAAAGAAAAATAAATAATTAAGAAAATATTAGTATTTCTATCCTTTTTATTATTTATTTTTAACTAAAAAATAAATTAAAATAATATTATTATTATTTCCATAATTTATTTTTTTTACCTACGTGACTTTACCGAAAAAACCTAAGAGTATGAATCCTTGCAGTCACGAAAGTTTCAAATCTACAATAGAGCTTTGTGACGTCATATTTGAGGGGGGGGGTCTGACTTTTGGTGACGCCGTGTGACGAAGGGGGGAGGGGGGGGGGTCAAAATCGTCCAAAATCGCGTGACGTCATTTATGGACGACCCCTCGCCCAGTATTAAACTACAACGTTGGTTCAGGCTTCTGTCCATGATGACCCCTGGATATATATTCAACTAAGAACCATTTGAGCTCCGTTAGCTCTTTTTTTTCAGAGGAGAGCTTGGCCATCACAAGTGATAGCTCAACGAAGGTGGATTATCGTCACCACGTGACAATAATCCACCACGTGACGATAATCCACCACCCGACACAGACAATCAGTGAGTATCGTGTCGCGCGAAAACAAAACGTGGCCAATTCGTTACCTGCACGGCACAACCGGCTTTTATGGTCGATAAAAGAGCGAGAGAGAGACTTTTGACTTATAAACAACTTTTATTGCCGCCAGCAGCAACAGCACTGGAGGCGATTTCGATATGAAACACACAAAGCCACCAGCTACACAAATGAAAATAAACGCGACAAATCCACGCGCTGTGGCGCTAAAAGCACCGCGCACAACACGAAAGAAAAGTCACGTGGTGGTGGTTGTGGTGGTGATGGTGGTTGTGGTGGTGGTGGTTGTGGTGGTGGTGGTCATCGCGCACGCCACGGTGACGAGCGAGCGCTTCAGAAGGTGCCGTCCACGCTGGTACAGAGAGGGGCTTGTCCGGCTCCCCAGCGTTCGAAGAAGACGCGCTGCACATCACCGGCATGTGTGTGGTACATGGCGTGCTCCAGCCGGAGCCGCGCCTTGAGCAGGCCTCTGAACACTGGATGCACAGAGCAGCCAGCGACATGGAGTAGGAAGCGAGGGGGTAGAGAGAGAGGGGGGGGCAGAGGTGGGTAGAGAGAGATGGGGTAAGGAGAGCAGAGCGAGAGATATATGAGGACGGCTGCTTGCGTTGTGGCCGAAACGTCGTGAGAATTGTATTTTATTTTTCTTATTTTATTATTTCACTTCAACGTGACTTTACCGAAAAAACTAAGAAGAAGAGAAATATTTTGTAAAATATTTCATTTAAAAAGCAAAGCATTAAAAAAAAACGAAATGATGAACGAAGCAAAGTGCCGACTACACCGAGCATCTTCTTGTTTCCTCTGATCGTAAAACAATACAAGAGAGTGATCTCACGTGGTGTCAATCGCCGGGCTGGTTACCACACCGTGTCAACCCCCACGGTTTAACCCCGGTCGTCTTGTACAGGGACATTGAGTTGTCATGTCCATACGGCGTATAGCCGTTTCAATACGGGCAACAACACAAAACTGAATTTGTGTATATTGTTTGTGGTTCTCCCTTGTGATGGGACTTTGTAGGATGAACGTCGACACACACAGAGACCAATAGACTCACACAGAGACACATAGACTCACACAGAGACCCATAGACTCACACAGAGATCCATAGACTCACACAAAGACCCATAGACTCACACAGAGACCCATAGACTCACACAGAGACCCATAGACTCACACAGAGACCCATAGACTCACACAGAGACCCATAAACTCACAGAGAGACATAGACTCACACAGAGACCCATAGACTCACACAGAGAGCCATAGACTCACACAGAGACCCATAGACTCACACAGAGACCAATAGACTCACACAGAGACCCATAGACTCACACAGAGACCCATAGACTCACACAAAGACCCATAGACTCACACAGAGACCCATAGACTCACACAGAGACCCATAGACTCACACAGAGACCCATAGACTCACACAGAGACCCATAAACTCACAGAGAGACATAGACTCACACAGAGACCCATAGACTCACACAGAGAGCCATAGACTCACACAGAGACCCATAGACTCACACAGAGACCAATAGACTCACACAGAGACCCATAGACTCACACAGAGACCCATAGACTCACACAGAGACCCATAGACACACACAGAGACCCATAGACTCACAGAGAGACATAGACTCACACAGATACCCATAAACTCACACAGAGACCCATAGACTCACACAGAGACCCATAGACTCACACAGAGACCCATAGACTCACACAGAGACCCATAGACTCACACAGAGACCCATAGACTCACACAGAGACCCATAGACTCACACAGAGACCCATAAGCTTGATGTCCTTCCCCCGCACCTCCGGTTAGCCACGCTTGGCTACGTACGGTGCGAAAGAAGTTCAACAAGCACACAATAGTTCATTTGGCGGGGCTAGTTTTCCCTTGCACGCACGTGGCTGGCTACTCGATTGCGGTGTGGTGAGCGGTTTGCTTCCGTGCGCACGGTTCGCGAGCTCTGGGGGGGGGGGGGGGCCTGCTGCCTCCTCTTGCTGCTGTTGCTGATCTACTGCCCCCCCCCCTCCAACGGTGGGGCAGATTTTTGTCATCACGGATGGGGTGGGGGTTGGAGGAGGGGACGCAAAGATGACGGGGATGGGTAGGAGAGAGAGGGAGGGAGGCAGTAGGACTGCGAGAGGGGCTGGGTGCAGATGCAGCACTTGTCGTAGTAAACAAAAATTACGTAGAAAACATGGGGACTATAAACATAGAGTAGGGAGGGGGGTAGAGAGAGAGAGAGGGTAGAGAGAGGGGGTAGAGAGAGGGGGGGGGGTAGAGAGAGGGGGGTAGAGAGAGGGGGTAGAGAGAGAGAGGGGGTAGAGAGAGGGGGGGGGGGGAGAGAGAGGGGGTAGAGAGGGGGGGGGGGGGTAGAGAGAGGGGGGTATAGAGAGGGGGTAGAGAGAGAGAGGGGGTAGAGAGAGAGAGGGGGGGGTAGAGAGAGGGGGGGGGTGAGAGAGAGGGGGGTAGAGAGAGAGGGTAGAGGGAGGAAGAGAGAGGGGAGTAGAGAGAGGGGGGTAGAGAAAGAAGGAAGGGGTAAGAAGAAGGAGCAAAGCGTGAAATTTTTCGTAAAATCTTTCATTTAAACACGGAGGGAGGGGGGCACATAAAGCAAAACATTGAAAAAAACCGAAATGATGAACGAAGCAAAGTGCCGACTACACCGAGCATCTTCTTGTTTCCTCTGAACGTAAAAAAGAGAGACTGGGAGATAGGGGGAGAGGGAGAGTGTGGAAATAAGACATGCTTGAAATCGCTTTAGACTATTGTCATTGTGGTGCGTGTTTGATGTGGCGACGCTGCGCTCTGATATTGTAGGAGAAAACATTTATTTAAAAAAGTCTATTTAATAAAAAAAAAGAGAGAGTGGGAGATAGGGATAGAGGGAGAGAGTGATAGATAGAGAGTATCAGATGGAGAGAGAGAGAAAAAAGAATAAAAAAATAAAAAAGATAGAATGGGCGTAATCTCTGTATAGGAGGGGCCGGGTTTGCAAAGGCGGTCTTGCGTGAATTTTTTTTGGGCACGTCACAGACGCGTGTGGAGGGCAGAACGAGAGGAGGGGAGGGGAGGTGAGAGGCGGAGTTGAATTTTCATTTCGCTCTGCGCTGCCGCTGTGGGTGAGGAGGAGGAGGATGACGACGAGGCATCTGGGTGGATGTGGATTGGAACGCGTGCCGGGAAGACGCAGAGCTGCGTGCTGCTAAGGCTACTCACTACTACAACTGCTGCTGCTGCTGCTGATACTACAACTGCTGCTGCTGATACTACAACTGCTGCTGCTGTTGTTGCTGCTGCTCCGGCTGGATGTATACACTGAAAGAACGGCTCGGCAAAGAGCAGCACGGCTCGAGAGGAGGGAGCGAAAACACGACAACAACATTGACCAGCAGCGGCAGCGGATAACACGCTGCGGGCCAGAAGAAGAAGATCCAGACGCGATTTCTCTTCTTTTGGGATTATTATCATCGAAGTGGCGATGCGTGGACTGCAGGCGCCTTCCGGCTGATGTGTGTCGCTGTGTGCGCGCACCATCACACACACCACCACCATCACACACACCACCACAACCATAATCATCATCACGCACACCATCATCGCCATCGCGCAGACGTGAGTGGACGCTGATCACCGCCAGCATCGCAACGCGTTCGCCGGACATCATCACCATCATCACGCTCGGCACGAACATCACCATCATCACCATCATCACGCTCGGCACGACATCACCATCATCACGCTCGGCACATACATCGACATCATCACGCGCAGCGAGTGCGAGCGCACAGCGCATCGCGTGACACCACCAGCAGCATCACGACGACACGCGCGCACGCAGAGACCACATCACACCCGCAGCACACACACACACCACACACACACACCACACACACACACACCACACACTACACACACAAACCACACACTACACACACAAACCACACACACACAAACCACACACACACAGCACACACACACACAAATACCACATCATACCCACATCACACACGTAAATACCACATCACACACGAAGCACATCACACATCACACACGTAAATACCACATCACACACGCATCGTATCACACCACACACGCAGCACATCACACACACCTTTGCACACTCGCACCAAACTCACCATACACACCAGCTACCTCCAAAGACAAAGACCCCCCGTATAGGCTTCACAGATCGTCGTGGCGGCGGGCAAGTGCTGCTAGCGGAGAATCTAATCGCACACAACCCACCCCCACACACATAGAGCTACCCACCCACACAGTCACCCACCCACCACACAGTCACCCACCAACACACTCACCCACACAGTCACCCACCAACCAACACAGTCACCCACCAACCAACACAGTCACCCAGCCACCCACACAGTCACCCACCCACCAACCAACCCACCCAGCCACACAGCCACACAACCACACAGCCACACACCCACACAGCCACACACCCATCCACACAGCCACCAACACAGCCATCAACACACCCACCCACGCACCTACCAACACACCCACCCACACAGCCACCCACCTCCCCACACACAGTCACCCACCCACCCACACATCCACCAACACACCCACCCACCCACACAGCCACCCAGCCACCCACCTCCCCACACACAGAGTCACCCACCCACACATCCACCAACATACCCACCCACCCACACAGCCACCCAGCCACCCACCTCCTCACACACAGAGTCACCCACCCACCCACACATCCACCAACACACCCACCCACCCAGCCACCAACACACCCACCCAGCCACCCACCCACCACCTCCCCACCCAGCCACCCACCAACACACTCACCCACCCACACAGTCACCCACACCCACCCACACACACAGTCACCCACCCACACCCATCCACACACACCCACCCACCCACACACCCAGCCACCCACCAACCCACCAACACACCCACCCACCAACCCAGCCACCCACCCACCACCTCCCCATGGAGGCGGGCTCGCTGTGCCGCGCCGTCTACGCGTTCGCGGGTGACGGCCACCCGAGCGGGCTGCGCTTCGACGCGGGCGACACGATCCGCGTGCTGCAGGCGCTCGCCGACGGCTGGTGCGAGGGCGAGAGGGGCGACGACAAGGGGTGGTTCCCCGCCGCCTACGTACGTCTCGTGGAGGTGAGGAGGGGGAGGGGAGGGTGGAGAGAGGAGATGTTGACTCCCTCGCCTGGTGTGCAGGAGGTCGTGGGTTCGATCCCGACCCTGACGATGCCTGCTGCCGCTGTATATTAGGAGTTTGCGTGTCTCTCTCTCTCTCATCATCATCACGGTGGCTAGGAGATGTTGACTCCCTCGCCTGGTGTGCAGGAGGTCGTGGGTTCGATCCCGACCCTGACGATGCCTGCTGCTGCTGTATATTTGGAGTTTGCGTGTCTATCTCTCATCATCATCATCACGGTGGCTAGGAGATGTTGACTCCCTCGCCTGGTGTGCAGGAGGTCGTGGGTTCGATCCCGACCCTGACGATGCCTGCTGCTGCTGTATATTTGGAGTTTGCGTGTCTCTCTCTCTCTCATCATCATCACGGTGGCTAGGAGATGTTGACTCCTTTGCCTGGTGTGAACCCGATCCTGACGATGCCTGCTGCTGCTGCTGCTGTACATTTGGAGTTTGCGTGTCTCTCTCATCATCATCACGGTGGCTAGGAGATGTTGACTCCTTTGCCTGGTATGCAGGAGGTCGTGGGTTCGATCCCGACCCTGACGCCTGCTGCTGCTGTATATTAGGAGTTTGCGTGTCTCTCTCTCATCATCATCATCATCACGGTGGCTAGGAGATGTTGACTCCCTCGCCTGGTGTACAGGAGGTCTTGGGGTCCGAACCCAACCCTGACGATGCCTACTGTTGCTGTATATTTGGAGTTTGCGTGTATCTCTCATCATCATCACGGTGGCTAGGAGATGTTGACTACCTCGCCTGGTGTGCAGGAGGTCGTGGGGTTCGAACCCGACCCTGACGATGCCTGCTGCTGCTGTATATTTGGAGTTTGCGTGTCTCTCTCTCTCTCATCATCATCATCACGGTGGTTTAGGAGATGTTGACTCCCTCGCCCGGTATGCAGGAGGTCGTGGGTTCTATCCCGACCCTGGCGCCTGCTGCTGTATATTTGGAGTTTGCGTGTCTCTCTCTTATCATGGTCATCACGGTGGCTAGGAGATGTTGACTCCCTCGCCTGGTACGCAGGGGGTCGTGGGTTCGAACCCGACCCTGACGCCTGTTCTTGTATATTTTGAGTTTGCGTGTCTCTCGCTCTCATCATCATCACGGTGCCTAGGGGATGTTGACTACCTCGCCTGGTACACAGGAGGTCGTGGGTTCTATCCCGATCCTGGTGCCTGCTGCTGTATATTTGGAGTTTGCGTGTCTCTTTCTCTCATCATCATCACGTTGGTTTAGGAGATGTTAACTACCTCGCTTGGTATGCAGGAGGTCGTGGGGTTCGATCACGACCCTGACGCCTGCTGTTGTATATTGGAAGTTTGTGTGTCTCTCTCATCATCATCATCATCACGGTGGCTAGGAGATGTTAACTACCTCGCCTGGTGTGCAGGAGGTCGTGGGGTTCGATCCCGACCCTGACGCCTGCTGCTGCTGTATATTTGGAGTTTGCGTGTCTCGGTGGTCGCGTGGATTTTTCTCCGGGTCCTCCAGGTTTTTTTTTATTGCCTCCACATTTCGAATCACGCGTTTAGAATCGGAATATTTATTCATACTGGAGAAATCCGATGAGCTAAAAATATTTTTTCCTACAGATGTCCATTTGGGGCGGTTTCGACTATTTGTCTGCTACGATCAATTCCCACCCGATACGCTACTTTTGTTGAGCTATCATTCGTGGCCACATTCCGCTTCTGAAACAGAATAAAAAACATAGTTTAGTTTGAGTAGCAACAAGCGAGGAGGCAGGGGGGTGCCTTGGCTCTACCCATCCACGTGGCCAAAGCTACGAATTGGGGCTCCCCGTGACAACCACGATGAGGATTTCATATCTCAACAAAATATTGAAAACGCGGTTAGATGATTAATATGGAAATGATTTAATTTACGTTATACGTTTTTTTTTTCTTGCAATGCAATTGTAGCAGTAACGTAATCTTTCAATGGGGTTAACTACTACGGAGCTGGTAGTGGCTGCATTTTGGCGAAGATTGGAGCGCGCTCCCCTCTATAGCGTTCAATCTTCGAGACCGTAAGAGCGTAACGACGATGTGGTTCGGGCCAAGATGAGCCCACGATATCTAAATAATAGCCTCTAGGTGCGACCGTGCGAAAAACATCGCAATATTGGGGGGGGGTGGGCATCTTGATCCCACCCTGACTGATTGCCGGACCCCCTGAACTGATCATGTAGTGACTAGGCCACTGATAATGTAGTTACTAGGCCACTGATAATGTAGTTACCACGCCATTGATGATGTAGTTACTACACCACTGATAATGTAGTTACTAGGCCACTGATAATGTAGTTACTAGGCCACTGATAATGTAGTTACTAGGCCACTGATAATGTAGTTACTAGGCCACTGATAATGTAGTTACTAGGCCACTGATAATGCAGATACTACACCACTGATAATGTAGTCACTACACCACTGATAATGTAGCGACTAGGCCACTGATGATGTAGTTACTACACCACTGATAATGTAGTCACTACACCACTGACAATGTAGTGACTAGGCCACTGATAATGTAGTGACTACACCACTGATGATGTAGTTACTACACCACTGATAATGTAGTTACTACGCCACTGATAATGTAGTGACTACACCACTGATGATGTAGTTACTACACCACTGATAATGTAGTCACTACGCCACTGATAATGTAGTGACTACGCCACTGATAATGTAGTGACTACACCACTGATGATGTAGTTACTACACCACTGATAATGTAGTCACTACACCACTGATGATGTAGTTACTACACTACTGATAATGTAGTGACTAGGCCACTACCCCCCTCCCTCCCCCGGTCCAAAGGAATGTCACATTGTTCAGGCCCATTGTACGCTCATCTCCTGTTTACAGCCCCCACAGTCAGTGCAGGAAATGCCACATTGCCACGGTAGGGGGGACGGGAGTCATTTGATGACACCACTGTTGACATCCCTACAAATTCATTGCTGCTTGTCGTTTTATCGACCTCGGGAGGGAGAAAGGATGATGATAGGCTGAGCCCCCCCCCCCCTGCCGCAACCAGGACTTGAACTCGCCCTACCTCTGCTCTGCCCGTGTGTTTGTGTGTCGAAATAACTTCGCATCGTACGTGTAAGTCAGCCGTGCCAATTGGAGGTTACCTGGCCTTGAGCCCAGAGAAGATATTTCACAAATTAACCACGAGCTTCTCGCATGTAACTGGGACCCCACACGTGTAGCAGGGAGGGGTTCCTCGCTTACGTACAACATCTGGCAGTTCGCCGGCATTGATTCGAGCAGCCAGACTGCTGATGAGACGCTGAATGTGGAAACCGGTCCACGCACGCACAGTCTTGCTTGTGTTGAACCAACGGTGCTGGAATTGTACGCTCCCAAAAGGCCGTCTTGCCGATGGGATGAGGGACAGATACGGGGAAGGAGGCGAATTGTATTATTTTTTGTTGCGTATTTTACCTGTTAGAGCCATCTCAGGTGGGATAGCCACGTGACCCACGGCGGCGAGATGTTAACTACCTCCCCTGGTATGCAGGTTGTCGTGGGTTCGATCCCAACCCTGACTCCTGAATATTTGGAGTTTGCGGTGGGTCTCTCCCCATGGTCATGTGGATTTTTCTCCAGGTCCTCCGTTTTTTGCCGTCACGTTTAGAAACATCGCGCGTTTAGAGAATTCGTCTGCTATAAATGCCCACGTGATGAAACTCCGCTTCGTTGGGCTATCAAGTGTGCCCAGGTCGCATCTGAGAAAGAAGCTAATATCTTCTTGGTTCTTTTGGTAAAGTCACGTAGAAGGGAAATAATAAAATAATAAAAATAAACATAATAATTTATATTTTGTTATATAATATTATTATATTATATTATTATGGTTTATTATTTTTATTATTATTTTATTATTTCCCTTCTACGTGACTTTACCGAAAGAACCAAGAAGATGAATCACTGCAGTCACGAAAGCTTGAAATCGAAAAAAGAAGCTAATAGCTCAGTGGGCCTTACCTGGTGAAAATAAAAAAAAATTGTTTAGTTTAGAGTGGTTCTGCTGTGTTCAATAACAGCGGACGATTAAATACCCCGCTTGAAATGAGCCGAGTGGCCATACACATCGCGACAACTGAAGTTGCTCGGACCACGCACACAGGCGTGTGTGCCTTGCCAGGGCCCCGTGGTGCATGAGTGCAGCCTCCCAAATATTATTCACTCCGTCTCTCTATACACCCACGTGCGAATGTGTGTCGAACTTTCTTTCGCGCCGTACGGAGCCGACCGCGCTGATCGGACGTGCGGGGGACGGACAACTAAACACAACAAGCGGTTCTGAAATAAAACACATTCCTCCTGCGGAGGGAGCTGGTAGGAACGTTGGGTTGCTCGGTCAATGGCCAGGGTCAACGGCGGCGTGGTGTATTCCGCAAATATGGCCGACTGTGAGGGCGGGCACAAGCCGGCGTGAGTAGGTTAAACGTTGAGTTTTATAAGGGCACCACGGGGTGACCAGCCCCTCCCCTCCCCACTCACCCAGCCCAACCCTACCCAGCCCCACCCCTCTCACCCCCCACCCTCTCCACCCAGCCCCTCCCTCCCCACCCTCCCCTCCCACCCAGCCCCTCCCCACCCCGCCCCTCCCCACCCTCCCTCCCCACCCAGCCCCTCCCCACCCTCACCACCCAGCCCCTCCCCACCCAGCCCCTCTCCACCCAGCCCCACCCCTCCCATTTTTGGATGCACGACGGACGGACGGACACAATAATCCCCTGTGGGCTGGTGTAACCAGGAGGTTCCTGACAAGTATGAGTTTTCAATCTAGATTTTTTTAAATAAAGTCCATAGCTCCAGTGGCTTCCTAATACCACCACCATGGGGCCCTCCATGGCGGTGTCATTAGTAGTGCAGTCTCCGGCTATTACTCGCCGCGTCTCTCTGGCTCTCGATCTATCGACCCCGGCCTATCCTCGG